CTCTCTCTCTCTTCCTACTAGCACTCCCCTCTCTCTCTCTCTCTCTCTCTCTCTAGAGCACTTTTTCTCAATCTGTCTCTCTCTGCCCTAGACCTATCACATTTTATCTTCCCCACTAGCCTCTCTCTCTCTCTATATATATCTCTTTCCTTACCCTAGAGCTTATCCCTCTCTATTTTTAGAGCCTATTTCTCTCTCTTCTCTCTTCCCATTAGAGTATATTCCTCACAGTGTGTTGAATAACAAATGGTTAAAAACAACATCTCCAGCTTTCTTCCTTCCCAAACAGGGTAAATTGGTAGCACCGGTTTTTTCAGATAGGTTAGTAAACGAGGGTTCACAACTTCTAGACACTAGTTTTCCATTTCAGCCATTTTCTAGGGCTCCCAACTGGTAGAGAAACTGCATCTCGAAGTTGTCAAACGTGACAAAGTTTGATTGAAAATCATAGTGGAAGCTTAAAACCCATGCTTCTCAGCTCTCTAGTGAAATCAGGACTCCAAAGATAATAGTCTTCAACTGTGAAAGAAAAAACCTTATACAATACCTCATCATTATTTGAGCCTTATCCCAACTATTCGTGGTTAGGTGCACAAATCCTTTTCGGCCATTTTGCTCTATCAAGGGCCATACCCTCAGTTACACCATAAGTCACTATATTTTTTCTCTTTACTTCCATCAATATCCTTTGGGGCTTCCTCTTACCTTTTTAGGGCCTCCACTTGCACCAAAACACCCTTTCTAACCTGTTTTTTCTAGGTCGACGTTGCACATGACCAGACCACGCAAGTCTGTTTTTTCGCATTTTATCGCCTATTGGAGCTACCCCTAAGTTCCCTTGAATCCGAATTCTACCTTCATTATCTTGCCACTCATCCATCTCTATATTCTCGTCTTAGCTACACTCATTCTATGGATGTGTTGTTTCATGACTGCCTAACATTCTGTCCCATTAAGCATGGTTGATCTCACAGCCGTCCTCTAGAGTTTCTCGTTTAGTTTGTAATAAAAGATCTTACTTAGAACCCAAGAAATCCCAATTCTATTGAATTAAAAGTCCTAATTAAATGAAAATTCTCAATGACAATTAACCCATTGTAAAATAAATAATTCCATAAGGACTCTTAACTACTTCTTCAAACAGCTACTAAACTACAAAAAAAATAAAAAAATAAAACACTGTAAAATCCCTAAAAAAACTTAAAAACCCTAAAATGAAACCTTAAAATCCCAAAATTCATCCATAAAATTTAGGGAAAATTACAAAAAAGCCCCAAGACTACACTTTCTATGCAACTTACTCCCAACCTAACTTTTTCTCTAACTTTTTTCCCCAAAGCAAACTTTCTTTTTCTCTAACGTTTTTCCCCAAAGCAAACTTTCTATGCAAATACCCCCCAAGGGAAAATGTTCATTTTTTTTTAAGATGGAAATGCCCTTCCCGTACACAAAAATCATTTTAGCCAGATTTGATGTTGACTTTTGGACCTCAGTAGCACATTGCCGGAGAGCACGATCACATTGCTCAAGTGCACAAGTGCCGAACCGCCCTAAGACAACTACTAGACCGAAACTGAGTACTGCCGGACTGCCCTTTACATAGTGCCGGAGCCCTGGAATCCAGTAACATATATTGTTGGACCGCCCTTTGCAACTGTCGGACCGCACTTTACACAGTGCAGGAGCCCTACTGCCAGACCGCACTTCACAGTGTCGGAGCCCTATTGCCGGAACGCACTTTACACAGTGCCGGAGCCCTACTGTCGGACCGCACTTACACAGTACCTGAGCCCCTATTTTGGTGGGATAGAGGATTGAGAGGTATGGGTAAGGTAAAAGTAAAGGAGGGTAGTTTATGCATTTTTTTATTTTTTATTTGGTTGGGGGTGTATTTGCATAGAAAGTATATTTTGGGGAAAAAAGTGAGAGAAAAGATAGGTTGGGGGTAAGTTGCATAGAAAGTGCAGTTTTGGGGGTTTTTTGTAACTTTCACTAAAATTTAATAAAAAATTAAATATTAAGAAGCATCCTGTCCTGCATCATTTGGATTAGGTGAGGTTTTGAGCCTTCTGGCCTTAACATTTTAGGCTAAAAAACTATTGGGTACTCTTCACAACAGCTCTCATAACCCAAGATAGTTACATGTAAATAGAGTACATTAAATAGGAATTATGTAACAAGCACAACTCTTGTGTCAACAAGTACTTTCCATTATATCTTTGCTTATTTTTGAGCTTTAATAGTTTATGAAAGCTTTCATTCCTGAAATTTGGACTAATAAGAACCATATTTTTTTGCAGGCAATGTGCAGGGAGAAATTGAAGCTGCTCAGAAGGGGCAAGTCTTAGGACAGGAGAATGGGAAAAGGTCTTACACATTACTTCAGGGTCACTCTGGACCTGTTTATTCAACAACCTTTTGTCCACTGGGGGATTTTATCCTGTCTTCTTCTGCTGATTCAACTAGTATGCTTCGTTTCCTTTTCTTTTTTGGGTTTCGTTGTTGCTTGTTGCTTAAGTTCTGTTTTACTTTCAATTTACGCAATAATGTTCTCCATTAATGTTTTTTTGGGTGAATATGCTCCCTATTGATGGTATATTATTGCAGTTCGATTATGGAGCACTAAACTGAATGCTAATCTTGTCTGCTATAAGGGTCACAATTATCCAATCTGGGATGTTCAGGTAATCATCTATTTTCAAATAGATTTGTTGGCTCATTTAGATAAGCGAAACATTAGATGGCATGCCGACCTTATTCAAGTCTTATTTTTGGTCCCTGAATCACATTTAGGTAGATTGGAAGGCACAAACATACTTTTCAAAGCTATGAACTTGTGGCTATACCACTTATCTTATTCCTACTAGGACCAAAACTAGGATTACCCTCCATTGCTCCTATTGGATCCCAAGGGCCTCCTGTTCCCCACTTCCTTTTGTTCTAATTGAGTCCTCCACAAAATTATCAACACACTTAATTTGGGGTTCTGTTCTTTTTTGCGAGGCATTCACTTGATTTCACCATGGTCCCTAACTCACTTTATGAGCAAATAAACATTACTTATACAGGTTGCTTATTGAGCTTTTTACCATGACTCTGTCATTTACTAGATCTTCACCATGATCCCCTAGAGACTTTCTGAGAAAATAAGCATTACACAAGATGTACTTGCATGATGAGTTACATCTTGAAATAGTCTACCTACTCGATACAAGTTGGCCCCCTTGTAGCCAATGACTCTGGTCCAACATTTACTACTCCCAAATGTGGAGACCTAGATGCATATACTCCATTAATAACTTTTTGGCTACTGAATGTGCTATGGAATAAATATAACTCATCCCTTTGAGGCCTGCCAAAACTCCCCTCCGCAAAACCCCATGATGCTTTATGCAGGTCCTTAAGTTTGGAAATTAGAATAAGTATTTGGGTTGAATCTAGTAATGTGTTTCATGACATTTACAAGGGAAAACTGAAAGCCTTTTCATATTTACGTGGGGCAGTTTAGTCCTGTTGGACACTATTTTGCAAGTTCTTCACATGATCGGACTGCGAGAATATGGTCTATGGATAGAATACAGCCTCTACGCATAATGGCAGGACACCTGTCGGATGTGGATGTAAGTATTTTTCAAGCTTTGCATTTGAGATATCAATGGATTGATGAATAGAGTAATTTATATTCCCCTATATTCTTGTCTATGATGAGAAACTTCTTTAGAGAAGACCATTGTCTAGTTGAAGTAATAATCAGTATTACCTTTACCAGTAATTACTTATTGTGCAATATCCATATGCCCCATATAAACATCTAAAATACCTCTTACTTATCTGAAATATTTAACTACTCTTTAAGACTCCTGCTATTTCCACCCATTCTTCTCTTGCAAATATCTAGGTAATCTGTTGGCTGTTCCTGGTTATGCATGCTTGGTCATACGGTTTTCGTATCTGTAGCTTGGATGTTTACATGGATGTAGTGTTATGCATAAATAATGACTTCTATTTATCTGGGGAAGGCTAAAGATTTGATAAATATTTACAAGATAGTATATGATACACCGACTAATGCTGTCTTTCATGAGAAAATTACTATAATAGTTTTAATTGGCATCAATTTGAACTTGAAATAATCTAGATATCTGATCCTCCTTTCAGTGTGACCAATAAGCCTGTGATGGTTTTATCTCCCTTGTCAAGTTCCAAAATACGTTGATGGACAATGGATTCTATTAGGACAGCCCTATTTTACATAGTTTAAGCCATCTTTTGTCATGCATATGCTGTGGCAACTCATCTAAACTAATGAAATTTATGAAGTTGTTTTTTTATTTTCCTGGCCAGATATACGTATTTACAGTATTTAATTGATGGCTCCCTTTTAACTGGTTGTACAAAATACATGTTATCACAGTGTGTGCAATGGCATGTAAACTGCAATTACATTGCAACTGGTTCTAGCGACAAGACAGTCAGACTGTGGGATGTGCAGACTGGAGAATGTGTTCGCATTTTTCTTGGTCATAGAGGTATGATATTGTCCATAGCAATGTCACCTGATGGGCGTTATATGGCTTCTGGTGATGAGGATGGCATGATAATGATGTGGGATCTTTCAAGTGGAAAATGTGTCACTCCTTTAACAGGGCATACGTCTTGTGTATGGACTGTTGCATTCAGGTAAGGGTAATTACACTTGTGTTTACTTTCATCTAATCATATTCTACTGAAATATGGATCACTTAACACCAATATTACTTTCCTCTTATCATATTCTACTGGAATATGGATCACTCATTACCAATATTGATTATAGGAATCTTGAAAAATGGAATGCATGGAAACATGGATCGTCAACTATGCCCACTGTAGTTGAATTTGTCATCTCCTTTTAGGGAAATTTATCAAAATACACATAAGAGATCAACTATTTAACATTTTACCCATATCTTTTAATTTTAATTTCAAAATACACATTTGACCATGAGTATAGGAATATTTGAAAATAGTGAACTGTTAAATTGTTGAATAATTAGATGTATTTTGATAAATTTCCCTTTCTTTTATCGATTGGAATTGAATTCATGAACATTGACGTCTTTGATGATTGCAACCATGACTTGCTTTTTCAAATTTTCCCTTTTGTTTTTTCTCCTTCCTATCCCAAGTGTTTTTTTCTTTTCCTGGTCTATCATGCTTTCCTGTATGACTGGATAGAATTGGATTGGAAAAGTTCAGTAATAGCATGTTTGATTGGTGGAAGCGACAGCTGCCACGAAAGCAATGACTTCCACGGACTCTGGAAGCCACAACTGTGGCTTCTCCAGATCAGCGTAAATTCTGTTTACCATCGGCTTCCAAAACAGCGTTGCACTTCCCATGTAACAAACATAGGAAGTGCTACAGTTGTGGAACCTATGCTTCCACAAAACAAACACGCGTTTCTGATTTAGTCCTTATAGCATTGTTTCTTGCAACATTTATTCAGAAATTTGTCCTAACGCCTGCAATTTTTTCTGAGGAATTGACCATTTGTTTAAATTTATTGAATCCGGGCAAACTTGGACACGAACTTTGGAAAAGGTGGCACCCATCTTATACTGAAAGCCATAATGTTGTAAATTCCAAATTTCTATCAATTTGAGTCAGACACGTATTTTTCCGGCCAGGGGCTGCAGCCAAGTGTTGGAGACCCATTTTTATATGCTAATTTAGGATCATTTTCACAGTTGTGAAGGTTCATTATTGGCATCTGGTTCTGCTGATTGCACTGTAAAACTATGGGATGTCAATGCTAATACAAAGGGTCCACGAGCAGAAGAAAAGTAAGGGCTTTGAACCTAATGTTTCCAATTTTGAAATGTTTTTCATTGAGGAATGCTGTTTTCTCACTTGTTTTTATTAGCAGGGTAACTAACACAAATAGACTGCGATTTTTGAAGACTCTGCCTACTAAGTCAACTCCTGTCTATGCTTTACAGGTATTATTCTCTATTGTTGGTAAGACTAATGCGTAAGTTTTTTTTGCAATGATAAGTACTAAATGTGAGTATGATTAGTGCAGTTCTCTAGAAGGAATCTTCTGTTTGCAGCTGGAGCACTCTCAAAAGGCTTGAGTTCTTACAACAAGTAGCTGACTAATGATTTCATATAAGGTGAGAGTAGGTCCCAAGTCTGTGCAGCTCTCTGCATTCCTCCATTATGGATAGTGCCACAAAATGCCGGTTTCTTTTTCTTTTAAGGTGGATGAAAAAAATTTCCTCTTGTTTTAGGAAGTAGTTGGTCTAGTTTTCACAAATCATCACAGATACATTATCTTGAAAAAAGGATCAAAATGCTTATTTCTGAAACATGACTTGTGGATATAAAACAATTAACCATGGATCTGATTTCATTTGAAGTTTGAAAAACCTAGGGAGGTTCCCCTCATGCTCGAAATTACATGTTGAAATAGTGGCACTTCTTTAGTTCTCATTAGTGTAATACTCAATTTCATCAAATTACCAGATATATTGTCAATCACTCATCCTTGATAAACCTTGTTCCATGTAGGACTAACGAATTTTCCAGAGAAGGCTGAGAACATGATGCTGAAAGCAGTTAGAAGAAGTGTGTAGACCGTGAACGCATGCCAAGAAATTCAGGTGATAGCTCCATGGGTAAATGGAGAGAGAAATTCTCTTAGCGAAGTATTTCCAAAGCTTATGTATTCTTTTTTTTTACCTTTCTTTTCTTTTCTTCTCTTTTTTTTTTTTTGGTTCCGGTTTTCAACATACCTTTTGTTCTTTATTGATGTATTTTTGTTTTTGAACTGATTATTAGAATGGAAGGCCTCGCTAACTATTAAGTATTAATTTCTGTGTATTTTCACAGAGATCCACTTTGATTGAACTGGAAAGCATGTCAATGATGACTGTGAGCATCAGTGTTTGGGTCTGTCAAATTAGAACCGTTTAGCTCAAGCTCTCCATTCCCTTTGGGGTTCCATATTGTTACTGATAAATAGGTGGAAAATTAAGGCTCTCGGTTTCCAAAAGTACCCTTTGTATGAAGATTTTTGTGGCCTTCACTTTTTATGTATTTATTCGAAAGAATTCACCTAGTGAAGAGTGTATTAATGAATTGGTTCAGCTCGTGTATGGGCGAGGCCTATTTAATGTGTCTAACACAATCTCCTTTAGAAGGCATTCAAAGTGCCGGTTGTTAGCTCCTCCATTTACAGTCCATTTCGAAAAAATCCCTCGCTTCGCCACCCTCTTGTTTGTTTCTATTGTATGGAGCGCACTGGGAGGCCACAATGGTTTTCTCTATCCGAGCCTTCTCTGTTTGAGATATGAGATCGGTGGCTAGGGTGTGCCTTTGACTGAGCTCAATGTTTACTAATTAGAATTTTCGAACTATAGGATATGCTTCACATTGACAACTAGGGATGATTATGACTTTTTTGTATTAAAGATTAACAATTTTATTTGATTGTTAGGGATGATTATGATTTTTTTTGCACTAAAGATTTAATATATGTATATTTTTTGAGAAAAGCTTATATAGAGCCTAGGCTCTAAACAATCAAATTAGAGTCTATGTCAAAACTTTCAAGAAGAGGTGGTTTTGATGCCCAAATATCATCAAATTGATAAACTTGACATCAAGATGCATGGATATGAGTAAAAAATAGATTTTAAGTTTTGAAAATAGTGTATCTTATAATGTATTTTTGGACCTTCAGCTATCGAGATTTTCAAATTTTTTATAGGTATGATGGATCTACACTATTTTTGAAGGTTTAAATTTTGTAAGTAGAGGTGAAAATAGAATTTAAGGATATCACACAGATTTATAGTATTGAAATCATATTTTTCGATACTATTTGAAAGTTGGTTTGAATTTTGATTGTTTAGAGCCTTCGCTCTATACAAATCTCACCTTTTATTTATTTATTTATTACAAATTAGTAACTTTTATTAATCAAAAGGGGTACATTAGAACAACTACAAAATTAAAGTATCTGAAACTTCAATGGCGGGCAGTCACACAATTTGTAGCTAGCCCATCAGCCATCTCATTGCCGCCAAAATGTTCAACCAAATAGATCTCAAAGTCCATGGCACCCTTTGCTCCGTTCGGCACCATTTAATTACATTTATGGCTCGTTTGAATCCTACGGAAAACAAAACCATGTTTTGGATCGTAACATGGTTATGCAAATTCTGGTTCTGCCAAAACCTTGTTATTGATCAAAACATCGTTATGTAAATTCTGGTTATGCCAAAACCTTGTTATTGATAGATGATAATACTTAGGTAATGCAAATCTGTTGTTTGGGTCATCTATTTGTAACTTGGGTTTATACTATTTAGGAAACATTTGGTAGGTATGAAATATTTTCATATGAAATTTACGTTACACATATTTGGTATGCAACAATAGTTATAAAAAAATTTCCCATTATAAAAAATTTTACCAAAATTTTAAAGAGAAATTAAACCAAATTTTAGAGAGAGAAACTACCTAAATTTTTTTAAAAAGAAACTATCTCAACATTTTTAGAGAGAAAATTGTCTAAAATTTTGAATTTGATACAATTTCTCTCTAAATATTTTGAGATAGTTTCTCTCTTTGAAAATTCGAAATTTCAAATAGTTGAAAATTTCTCTTTAAAATTTTGAGAGAGTTTCTATCTCAAAAAATCTTCAGGTAGTTCTCTTTATAAAATTTGATATAGTTTTTCTCATTAAACTTTAAGATACTTTCCCTTTCTAAAACTTAAATTTTAATAAAGTTTCTCTAAAATTTTTGAGAAAGTTTCTCGCTCTAAATTTTTTTTAGGTAATTTCCTTCTCTAAAACTTGATATACTTTCACTTTATAAAGTTTTAAGATGCGTTTCTCTAAAACTTGAAATTTGATATGATTTTCTCTTTAAAATTTTTTAGATAGTTCTCTCTCTAAAATATTTCAGGTTGTTGCTCTCTCAGGATTTGGCGTAGTTTCTCTCTCTAAAACTTAAAATTTGAGATAGTTTCTCTCGCTAAATTTTTTAAGATAGTTTCTTTCTTTAAAATTTGATATATTTTCTCTCACTAAAATTGTAAGATACTCTCTCTAAAGCTTAAAAATTGAGATAATTTGCCTTTAAAAATTTTGAGATCTTTAAAATTTTAAGATACTTTCTCTCCCTAGAACTTGAAATTTAAGATAGTTTTTTTCTCTAAAAATTTTGAGATAGCTTCCCTTCCTAAAATTTTTTAGATAGTCTCTCTCTAAAATTTGATGTAGTTTATCTATACAATTTTCAATTACTATCGCTTTCTAAATTTTGAAATTTTGAGATAGTTTCTCTCACTAAAAATTTTCAAATATTTCTCACTCCAACTCTTTTTGGGTAGTTTCTCTCTCGAAAATTTGATATTAGTTTCACTCTCTAAAATTTTACATTACTTTCAATCTAAAACTTGAAATTTGATATAGTTTCTCTCTCTAAATTTTTTCAGGTAATTTCTCGTTCTAAAATTTTTATGGTTCTAAAATTTTAATATTTGTTTTTCTAAAAACTTGAAATTTGAGATAGTTTCTCTCTCTAAAATTTTAAGATTATTTCTCTCTCTAAAAATTTGGGTAATTTCTCTCTCTAAAATTTGATATAGTTTCTCTCTTAAATTATGAGATACTTTCTCTACCTAGAACTTAAAATATGATATGTTTTCTCTCTCTAAAAATTTTAAGATAGTTTCTCTCTTTAAAATTTTTCAAGTAATTTCTCTCTCTAAATTTTAAAATACTTTCTCTCTCTAAATTCAAATTTGATATAGTTCTGCTTTCTAAAATTCTTGAAATACTTTCTCTCTAAAAAATTCAGGTAGTTTCTCTCTCTAAAATTTAATATATTTTATTTCTCTAACATACTTTATTCTTCTAAAAGTTATAATTTGATATAATTTCTCTCTAAAATTTTTGAGTAGGGTTCTCTTTCTAAATTTTTTGAAGAAATTTCTCTATCTAAAATGTGAGATAGTTTCTATCTCTAAAATTTTAAGATACTCTCTAAAGCTTGAAATTTAATATAGGTTCTCTATCTAAAAATTTGGGATAGTTTCTCTCTGTAAAATATTTTAGTAGTTTCTCTCTCACATATCTGATATAGTTTCTCTATTTAAAATTTTAAGATATTTTCTTTCTCTAATACTTAAAATTTGATGTGGTTTCTGTCTATAATTTGTGTGGACGTTTTGACATAATTAATTGTATTTAATAAAGTGTGGATGTTTTGGTATAATTAATTGTATTTAATAAAGTGGGCAGCTCTGGTATGTGTAAATAGTATTGTCACAAGTTATATTCTCTCTGCTTACACAAAAGAATGTTTTTGACAACTCAATTTTTTTGGTTTTGTATACTGCCCACTTTCTTGGTTAAAGAAAATACGGATATGTATCCAAAATGGTGCCAAACATGCAAGATGACCTGGTTATACAAAACATAGTTTTGGATAGCCTAGGATCCAAACGACCCCTTAAGGAATTCCCTTTTACAAAAAGTGTTCCAATTCTTGTAGTCCTTGCAATAGAGGTTAATTTTGCCTGTAACTTCACCACAGGGTTACGCAAAGCGGAACAACACATAAGCAGAACAGTCTCTAACTACGACTTGTACAGGTCCTAGGTTCCCAAAGAAACTGCTATCAAAACTTAGTTTATAAGTGATAAACTTAGTTATCTCTGTGGAACCTTGGTTACTGTCATAATAAGGTACCTGATGTGGTCTTTTTGCAACTAATGGAATTGTGGAATGAGTTGACACTGTTTACCTATCTACTAATGCCGAGGATCAAGTAGTTTGGGAAAATGAGAGCGATTGATTTTTACCGTTAGGTCGGTGTATTGATTATTGTTTAATGATTGACTGGGGCAGTCTCTACCATGCTTAATATAGTTTGGAAATGGATGATGCCACACAAGGTTCAAGCGTTCCTTTAGATGGTTCTACAAGGTGAGTCATTAACTGTGGATAAATTGAAAAAGAGAGGTAAAATTCTGCCTAATGTTTTTTTGATGTGCAAGAATGAGGAAGAAACAGCTGATCAGCTTATCCTTCATTGTTCTTTTGATGCTTATATATGGCAATAGGCTTTTAAACAGATTGAGTGTCACTTGCTATTGCCTAGGAGCCATAAAAATATTATTGATGTTACTTGGAGTTACCTAGGAGCCATACAGATATTATTGATCATCTTAACATACCTGGCTTGCCAAAGTGTGCTAGACTGATCTGGAAAGTATTACGGGTGAAGTTATGGGATTTGAAAGGAGACGAACAAAAGAACTTTTAAGGGATGCGTTTTTACGGAGAGCGCTATATTTAAATGCAGCACACTATTTGGAGCTGGTTCTCTGTAACTAAGGTCTGGACGTTATATTGAACCTAAGGCTTTTGGCTTTAGAGATTAACAATCTTATAGAATGTACAATCCTTATTACATTATATGTTGTAGAATACACTGAGCTCTCAGCCCTCGGTGCTAAAGAGTTGGATGGCGCAGATGAACCATTGCTCAAGTTGAACAAGTAAAGATGGACTTCATGTTTTTTGTTGGTGGTTACAAGCATAGTAGCCATCTACTTGGTCGTTGCTCAATTCATGCTTTGGTTTTTTCTGGAAAATTAGGTAGTATTCAAGGTTAAGTTCCAACTCAGAATCTCAATTTATTGTCTGTTTCCTACTTTTAACTGAGATGACCGAGAGAAGCCCCGTTGGATTCATTGCTAGTTTCTTCTGTTTTGTTTTGATAAATGATTTGTAGCTCCGTTTTAATTAATGAAAAGTATGAACTATTGTTAAAAAAAAAAGAAAGGAAAAAGAGATCGAGATATTGTAAAAAATCAAAGATAGACTCAGAATATAGTATTTCATAAAGAGAAGGTTTATATAATAAAGCCTAGGAAAAGAACAGCCTTACTTTGAAACTATGTAGGAAATGCATTTTTAGCTTTGGAATCCTCAATAGATCATGTCGAATTTGACAATTACGAATATTTTAAAAAAGAAAAAAAAATTTAAACCCTAAAAACAACGCAACTTGTAACACATTATCTAAACGGTCTATTTTAAGAGTATGATCTTGCGTTATTTTAAGAGATTCAAATTTCATAATTAGAGGCAAAAATGGATTTTTGTATTATAGGGGTTTCAAGTGTTAGAACTTTATAAATATTCCGTA